ATACCGCAATTTGAAGCAGCTCAGTTCATTCATTCAGCGCCAGTGGAAAGGTTTTCAAAGCGAATATGCTGAAAATTTGAGCAAAAGTATGCCGAATAGATGTGCCTGTGTGATCGAGAAGGCAGGAGAATGGATTAAATATTAATTTGTGGCGCCGTAGCTTAGATACTAAATAGAATGTATATAAAATAATTTTGTAAAACTCTTGAGTTTTATTATAAAAAATCAACCTCTCTCTATAATGAAACATACTGTATATCGTATTTAGAATTTGCGACTCATAATTTGAAAAATTTACTATAGAAAAAACTATTATATCGTCTTTAGATTTTGCGATTTTTGAAAAATTTACTATAGAAAAAACTATTATATCGTTTTTGGAATTTGCGACGTATAAAATTATTAAGTACACAAAATCTACGTCTTGATGGTTGACAAGAAATGGTAGCGTGCACTTTCTTGTAACCGGTCAATAATTTACACTATACAATATATATAAAATACATAAAATCTACGGCGCGACTATTTCTTGTCGGTTGACAAGAAATGGTCACGCTACCATTTCTTGTCAACGGACAAGAAAAAGTTGCGCCGTAGATTTGCACAAAATCCACGCGGTTACTTTTTATGGTTTTTACAACAAATGGTAGCATGCACTTTCTTGTAACCGGTCAATAATTTGCAATATACAATATATATAGAATACACAAAATCTACGCGGTTAATTGATCGCGCCGTAGATTTTGTGTAAAAAATGATATATGTCTACATGATGGTTTTGATAATTTAAACAGTATTACCTACCTTGACTAGTTACAAGAAAGTGCACGCTACCATTTCTTGTCAACGGACAAGAAAAAGTCGCGCCGTAGATTTGCACAAAATCTACGCGGTTACTTTTTATGGTTTTTACAACAAATGGTAGCGTGCACTTTCTTGTAACTAGTCAATAATTTGCAATATACAATATATATAGAATACACCTGATAAGGGCCTTTTTTTGTGATTGAGAAGACACGTTTTTTTTATTTTAGAGTTGCAAAATGCAATTTTATTTAATTAAATTTTAAATTGAACTGATTTGTATCAATTTCGTAAATGGACGCCAATTCTTGGATGTCTGATATAGACAGTGTGAAAGCTTCATTATCTCCCATCAAATTGTTAAATGCAGTTAAATCTGTTTTATTTAATTAAAAAAAAAGTTTATAATATATTATATAGCAACGAATTATATCAATTACTTCTACTTATTTCATCCGTTCCGAGATCCAGATCAAAACCACCAACATTTGTCACATTTTTGATGTCTTCGAATGGTGGTAGCATTTTGTCGATGGCACTTAATTCTTTATTCAAATCTATAAAGAATTTTACAAGGTTTGTATATTTAAATTATAATTTCTTAAAAATATAGACAATCATCACCTTGAAAAGCTAAATCACCATCGTCAGTGTGATCACCATTGTCGGTGTGATCATTTGCCTTCCCATTCCCTTCTTCTGGCGGCGATTCAACTTCATGTATGAAATTTTTACATTTTTATAACATTTAAATTACAATCTCTTTGTAGAAGAAAAAATATATTAAATATTTTACATTGAAGACCATCATCATCATCATTCCCTTCTTCTGGCGGCGATTCAACTTCAACATTGATTTCAATGCGACTATTGTCAGCATTTTCATCTATGACATTTTTATAACATTTAAATTACAATCTCTTTGTAGAAGAAAAATATATTAAATAACTTACTTTGAAGACCATCATCATCATGATTCCCTTCTTCTGGCGGCGATTCAACATGGCTTTCATCATTGTCGGTAAATATATGGTCAAAATTGGAGCGTAGCCGTTTTGCGAATTGCTCACATTCGTGATTCCACGTTCCTGTCGGGCGTTCATTTTTTGGCGTATATCCCTCCAAACCGAATTCGGCCAAATCGATGTTAAATTTATCACGCACACTGAATATAATTCTCCAAATCGATTTCATTAATACGTGGACCGATTTACTTCGTACCAATGGGAAACCCCGAAAAGCAAGCGTCTTAAAAATAGTTCCAATTTCAAGGGCAAATTTTTGGACAATTGGCACCGAACAATTTAAAAATGTTTTTAAAACTTTTAAATCATAAGTTGGATATTCCTGGCCATTATGTTCGAATGTGGTGGTGTAGTCAAGAGTGCTTAATTGACAAAGTAATTAAAATACAATTATTAAATATAATAGAAGAATGAAAAAGGTAAGGTTTTATGTTTAAAAACAATATATTTTACCTAATATATGATAGCATCATAATGCCACAGAACTGGAATGCATGTTTTTGATCGATAAAATATCGATATAAATTTTCATCCGTGGCAAAGCTTCCAACCATCATTTCGTGTGATATTGAATTTGGAGTACTTTTGTAATTCCATTGTGTGTCCCCAACATCGCACACATATCCACATTACTGAATTCACACGCAATGTGCGAACACAAAAACCGGTTCCACGTGTTTAGGTGGAACAAGTGTGAAGCTGAATGATTTTTTTTTACAGATTTTATTATTAAAATAATTTAATAAATTTAATAAAAATAATCGAAATAAAATTATTTTACTTTTTCGGTTCTTCACCGCTTACAATGGCCGTTTCCATGAATCTTTTAAAAGTTTGGCCGCAACCTTCTGACAAAACTGCCATCACCATTTCGGGGATTTCAAGTTGTAAATTATACAGAGGTGATTTGATCACATTCGAAAGGCTTTGCAATGGCGCGCTCTCTTTATTGGTGGCATACACAATTAAATTTGCCTGCATTTTAGCCTGTTTAATAGCGGTGTTGGCATCATCATCATCCGTACATTTTCGTTTCATTTCAAGGCGTATTTTCGTTCCGGCCGATGTTACTTTTAATGCGTCATCCGTTTTGCACAAGTCCAGAACTGTATTTGGATATGGCTCCAGCAGCAGCCAATCTGCATGGTTCATGACGGTGAGCCAGTTTCCTCTATATTGACGTGGCTTCTGTTCCCCGTATATACATTTCCAAACGTTCGGAATTAAAGTCTCGGGCGGTTCTGGGTCGGATTTTCCTTTCCGAACAACTTGACGGTTGAAATACAGTTTGTAAACCGTATACCTAAAAAGATCCACGTCATCGGCCGTTTCCGATATTTGTTTTTGGAATTGCCGTAGTATCTCCGGAGTGGCAGAACGCAATTCTTTCCATACGGTTTCAAACATGGCGAACTTTTCTTTGAAATTGCTTGGTTTACAATTTTTTGAATTTACGCTGGCTGCTGTTCGACCGGCATTTAAATAAAAAGCCAACGAAAAAGATGCATTGCCAGCATCTACGGCAGATGGACCGTAGACATCCCTCAGTTTCGGGATTTTCTTAAAATCGTACCTGAAAAAGAGTGCCTACTTTAAAATAATTCTATAAATTGTCATTGAAAGAGTCGCGCCGTAGATTTTGTGTATTCTATATATATTGTATATTGCAAATTATTGACCGGTTACAACAGACAAGAAATAGTCGCGCCGTAGATTTTGTGTATTTTATATATATTATATACTCGAGATCAAAATACTGTGTATGTTATGTTAATTTTCAATTCAAATTTTATTTTACATGTTAGTTAGTAATAAAGAAAAAAACGACAATAACATGTTCGTGTAGATTATATGTTTGAAATTATCAAAACCTACATATGCATAAAATACTAAATGTCATTCAACTTCAAATTGTCAAAAGATGGCGACACCGAGAATATGTTTATATAGTATATCGTATTACTATAGAAAAAAATTTACTATAGAAAAAACTATTATATCGTTTTTAGAATTTGCGACGTATAAAATTATTTTTTTGAAAAATTTACAATAGAAAAAACTATTATATCGTTTTTAGATTTTGCGACGTATAAAATTTTTTTTTGAAAAATTTACTATAGAAAAACTACTATATCGTTTTTAGATTTTGCGACATATAAAATTATTTTTTTGAAAAATTTACTATAGGCCGATTCATTGGTTGGGGCATATTTGTTATAATAACGTTACTATTCAATCACTTCTGCTCAGAATTTACACGTTATATAGACAAATTGACGTATATTAACACAATTGTAAATTTTACGGCGCATCTGCCGCTAAGGAGAGCCCGCACACCACGTGAGTGATGCATGGCAAATTCGAGAGCATGGCAAACCCGAGAGCATGGCAATTCGACTATAGAATTTCTGTAAAATAATTTTTAGAATAAAAGTGTAAAAAATATAAATAAAATGTTCGTTTTTTACCAAAAAGGATAAGTTTAAATTGAAATAATTGAATTAAAGATGAAAAAAACAAAGGTTGCTTGAAGTTGTGACTCGTTACGTTTCCATTCGGAATTGAAAGAGGAATTGTCAAAACTCCCCAACATTTATGTGTGCGTGAACATAATATGTTTTTATACGAATGAATAAAGGTTGACATATAACCAACTTCGTGCTAGTGCTATGAATTAAATTTTGTGAATTGATGGAAATTGTGAAAATTAAATAATAAGTGAATGTTTATTAAAATATTGTTAGTACAAAAAATGTTTAAAAATTTATTTTATTCTAAACAGATTAAAAAATTCCAAAATAATTAGTTCGAAATATCATAGAATTTTCAAACATTATTTTCATTCCGAATCTACTAGTACGTTAGCATGAAGTTGGTTAAGAATGGTTCGGTCGAACCACAGCAATGAAATCCCTACTACCGTGCTAGATGGTGTCGACACGAGTGGACGGATTTTTAAATTTATTTGAACGACGCCATGTTTATATAATTGTCCATTACAACGTACATGTAACAGAAAAAACACACAGTCCATGTCCTCGCTAGTGGACATAAACGATTTGAACCGTCAATGTGAACTAGATCAAGTATAGAACTTTACATAGGATCATATACGATGAATATGGATTACACAGTCTGTTTCAAAATACCGTCACCAATGTCGACACCATTTGACATCAAAATTTTGACAGTAAAAATATGTGTTATTGTTGTTGTCGTTCCATTGCTGTGGGTCGAACAGCTATTTTTTGACATTTTGTTTTGTTTGTGTGTGAGTAAGAGAGTGTAAGAAACTGCGTTAGGGACTTTATAAAGGCATTTGACATTACCTCTTTGTACTGTAGAAATGTATTAATTAATTGATTAAATGAATACACAAGTTAATCAAAATATGATGGTTTTGTTTTAAGTTTTTTCATTCCGGAGTCCCGGTTTCATCACAAAATAGATGAGGACCCGAGTTCGATTCTCGGTCAAATTTGGTCCGGTGTTTTTCCACCGTGATTCGCTCAGGAATCGTCAGTGGTTTAATGCGGAATAGATTTGGTCGGGTTTGGGGCTAGTGGAGTGCTTCGGAAGGGCACTTAAAGACGTCGGTCCCGTGTGTATGCATAACGAAGATATGGGCTCAGCATAAACACACATAAAATGGAGTGCCTTCGCGTTAGTTGATTGTATTGAATATGTGAGAGATTGCAAATACAACAACCGTAAAAAGGTAGTGCGCCATCTCTGGTGAATATACCGGTAAACCAGCGATATGTGCATTCCTCCATTGCAATAAGAAGAGCCCAAGGTCATCTAGGAATGAATGGAATTCTTGTGACTGTCACGACAATTGACTTGAGAAGAAAGCCCTGGTCAAACATGTAATTTTGTTTATGCAGAAAACAATAAATATGTGTATTTAATTGCAGATTTTTATAATTTAGTGTTATTTTATGATAAAAAATCGATGTTTAAAATTTCAGACATAAAGCTGACAAAAAAGTTGATAGTTTTTTTTACATAATTCATTCATGCAGAAATTTTAATCGAAGAATCTTTGAGCAAAGAAAAAATATATTCCAGAAAATCAAACATGCAGCTCGCTTTATTAATTGATGTGTTTTCTATCCGCGAATAATAGTGCAGATTTCGCGAAGTGGGTGGCTGTAATTACAGACGTAAAATTATTTGTTTAGTGTATGTCTAGCTGCATGGTTCAATATAGTTTTCTGACATAAAGCAAAAAAAAAGTTACTTGTTAGAGTGGCTCTTGGTCTATTAATTGAAACAATAAATTTAGAAAAAAAATTATGTAGCAAAATTATGACTACACAGCCAAAAAACTATTATATCGTTTTTAGAATTTGCGACATATAAAATTATTTCTTTGGTAAAAATTATATAAATAAACAACTATTTTAAGAATTTCAAAAACTGTTGAGAAATATGCGGCATTGTATAGAATTATACGGAATTATTTAGAATTATCGGGGTATTAGATTGAATTGTGAGAATTACGAAACTGTAGTAGTATGCCCCTTGACGTAATTCATAAATAGTTGTTGAAGCAGTGTTCGAAAAGATCCAAAAATTATAATACGTATAACAGTTCAATTTTTTATAAAATATAAGCCACTGGATTTTTTCTGACACGATGAACATGACCCATATCACTTCATGGGTATATTTTTAAATAGTACATAATTAGTAGGTATGTAATTATGGCATGAGCACATAGAAGTATTGCTGAAAATCTAAATTTTATTTAGAAAGCAAGTTACTCCTGAAATAACACATTTCATTTGAAATTCTTATAAAATAAACAAAACATTATAAATTCATATGATAATAATATTTATTGTAAAATGAAATTTTGAAGGCTTAATGCAAATTTGTAACAAACATTACAATGTAAAACATGTTGAATTTGCGTAGTTTAACTTGTTCAATATTGGTATTTAAGCTTAATCTCCACGGTTTACAGTGTCAGTAGATTTCGTTTGATTCCCGACATTAGAATGTTAAATCGACAAGTTATCACCTTAATAGGTGTTGTTGTGTTGATAAATTTACTGCAAGTAAAAGGTAACGGACCACAACACCCAAACGATGCTAGTTCCAGTTCTGCTAATAGTAACAGTAGCAGCCATCGATGGTTTGACGTCGCTGGTGTTTTCCGAAATGTTTTTAAATTGCCAGGTACAGCTGATTATAAATCTTTTCCATGCTTAACAAGTAGAAAAATTATTTTCGCTTAAATAAAAACAGTTTCAGTGATAGAGGCCGAGGCAATAAAAGAGCGTGGAGGATTAGTATGGAAACGTCCTACCAATATTGCGCAATTTCCTCATACGTGGCATACATTCAAAGCAAAGAACGCATCTGGTGAAGAAGTTGAATTCGTGATTAAAGATATACCCAGAAGTAGATTCAACCAAGTTGTAGACTTGATGGCTCTGTACACACTCAAAACGGATCCAATATACAATGCACTCGGTTAGTGTGACTTCTTTTACCGTCTTTTACACATGTAAAGTAAGAGTAAACAAACAAATCTAATAAAATTCAATAGACATATGGACAAATGCGGACGCTGTGAATATTTTTAAAAATGAGTGGACATTGATACTCAAGCAAAAAATGTCGGTGGCTTGCTTCACGAACGATGGATCTGACACAATTGTCGGTATAAGCATATTGAATGTATTGCGAAAAGATGATGTCATGTTCAAATTGATTCCAGATGTAAGAAAGAAATTATTTTCAGTTTCTTTTTAATGCGATAGTATATCACTCAAACATTTTGTTTACTTCAAGTATCCAAATTACAGAATCAATAGATTGGAACAATTATATCGTAGAATCAAATTTGATACATTTGAACATTATAAAGTTGATGAATTTTTAGGTAAATTTTTTGAATGAAATGTTATTTTACATTTTGGATAGTTTCATTGTTGTTGGTTTTTAGGTAGCGCTGGTATTGGAATTCATCCAACGTATGAACACTTTGGCATTGATTTAGAACTTCTTAGGAGCAGAGAAGGGATTTGTCGAACATTTGGATTAGCTGTAACGTCAACGCTGTTCACATCACCAGCATCCAATACTGCCGCCAATCAACTTCAGTTTAATATTGACAAAACTTTAAGGTATAAAAAAAGGTAAAACTTCATATTTATTCACATTTTGTAAATTTAACCTTTTTTTCAGCTATAATGATATACGCAAAGTAATTCCTGAGTTCACGTCCATTACCAATCCGAGAATAACGCTGAGATCAAAAGAATTCAAATGATGAAAGCGAAAGACGACATGTCGTCAACCATGAAAAATATTTTTGTATTGTAATGAGTATTTTATTTGAAATGCGAATAAACACAGAATGAATTAATACAATTTTGAATGAAAGAGAACATTTTTATCCAATACAAACTTAAATATTTATCCAAATAAACCTTGAAATTCGCTGACACTTTCATCATAGGGGCTTTTTTATCACATGTCAACTCAAATTGAAACTAAAGACTAAACAGAGCGTCAATTTTAAAATTTGCTGTCATTTCCTCCCATTGCATGTAACATATTAGTATGTTACCGTAAGTATTGAAACCAGAGATTGTTCCTCTAAGGAGGAATTCCTTCAAACTATCGGAATATTATTTGTCATAGTGAAAAAATAACATGCGCAAAGTTTCACATCATTCCGATATCATGCATGGCTCTCACATAAAAATTCAACACATTCACACATTTTGCCATTTTTGCAAATATTTGTATGAAAATTTCTTCGATATATTATTTTATCGGAAAACTAACATCAGATTTGGTTTTCTCATACCGAGAAACTCCCTACAAAGTATCTGGATTGAAAATAGATCGTATGTCATTGAGAATACTTGTGTATATTTTGTAAAACGAATAGCCGTTAAACTTCATCCATAAATGATAAACTTAAATGATGCTCCCACATTCATAGCCCTTTACGTCATACGAATTTCGATCTATTTGTGAAGATGATATGAAAAATATTGAATTTCGTACAGAAAAACAAATTATGATAAAAATTGAAGTATTTTTTTTTCGACACGTGTTTGATTACGTTAATCGTGTTTTCTTTACACTACATTTTCATTTCATTGGTATTAAACAATTTTTTCAAGCGAATTTAAAAGAATTTTTTTTTTGGAGAATAATATCACTTTATTTAAAACTTCAATTTAAGAAATTAAAAGCGATTTGTTTTGGCAGTTGTCGTTCTGTTACATTTTATTTAAATGTACTGTAATTATAGCGATTTGTTTTTTTCCCAAAATGAATAGACCTGAGCGCCATTCCCCATCTGTTAACATACGGAAATTCTGGAATTACTTCATGCATCTTGGCAAAGCTAAAAAAAAACACATGGAGTAATTGTAAAGAGGCGAACATTACTTTCAATAATTATTCTGTACGCACCTCAGACCTTTGTCCATTTTAAAATGAATGTCATTGGCTAAAGCATTGGACTCTGGTGATGTGAATATCGTTGACGTTAACTTTATGCCAAAATTTCGACAAATCTCTTGTCGTATCTTAAGAAATTCCGCATCGATTCCAAAATTCGCATACTTTGGGTCAATTCCAATACCAAAACTTCCTAAAAACTCATCAACTTTGTAGTGTCCAAATAAATCAAATTCATACAAGTCTCTCATAAATCCAAATAACACTCTGAGATTGTAACTTTCAACCTTGAAATTATTTGTGAAAATGCCTTCATAAGATTTATTTTAAAAATATTAAAAGAATTGCGGATCTTACACTTGGAAGCAATTTATACATAACATCATCCTTTCGTTGTACCGCCAATATGTTAATACCAATAATATCATCCGAACCATCGTTTCTGAAACAGGCCACCGACATCTGTTGCTGCAATACTAGGCCCCATTGCTTTTTAAGGTATTTTACAGCATCTGCATCGGACCACAAAGACAGTGTTTTATATATTGGCTTATATCTTAAAGTATATAAAGCCATCAAGTCTACAACTTCATTGTATCTATTCCGGGGAATATCTTTAATTATGAATTCAACTTCGTCACCAGAGGTGTTCTTTGCTTTGAATGTATGCCACGTGTGTGGAAACTGTGTATCATATGTGTTAGGACGTTTCCATACTAATCCTCCACGCTCCTTTAATGCCTCTGCTTCCACCACAAGGTCTGTTTAATTGAGGAAAAATTATTCTTATATGTTTTTTATCAAAAGATGTACTTGGGAACCAGACAATATATTTAGCTGCCGTCATCTGGATATTTCAGCTCATCTGGATGCCGTCAGCAGATGATACAAAGTGAAAACAATAGAAGTGATTGTTAAAGGTGTTGTTACTGGTATTACTATAACAATCACTTCTATTGTTTTCACTACGCATCATCTGCTGACGGCATCCAGATGAGCTAAAATATCCAGATGACGGCAGCTAAATATATTATCTGTTGGGAACTCGAGAAATTTTCTGAAAACACCAGAAATACCGCAATTATTGGGATTGAAGCGTAGTAGTGGTGTGTTGGAGTCCAATGCTTGGAGTACATCCATAAACACGATAACACCCACAATTAAAATGAGGATCTTATGATTTAACATCGCGAAACGAATGATGCAAGGAAGGGAAATTTACTGACAATTTCATCGATAAAAGTTAAGCTTAAATTGCAAAATAAACACATCACACAAAATGTGTTTTATGACACATAAATTCCTCAGTGGATCTGTTTTCGAAACAAAACAAATGAAAAGCATGTAGGTTAGACTTAGTTTATAGACTTAGATATAAGATAAAAAGAATATAATAAAAGTGAAAAAAAACCGGTCGAAAATAATTCTCAATATTAATCCACCAGGTCATAGTTTGTCTGCTTTTTTTGCTATTTTTTCTATTCATTGATATAATCCAAGTAGTGCACAATGCTTTAGATGAAATTTCATGCTTTTTGTGCTTCCGACCAATTCGACTAGAGTAAGCGATACAAAGCATCAAGAAACATCAAAATAGTGCTTTACCAAAATCAGAGATGGCATTGACTGTACAAAATGATGTTTTTTCTTCATTCAGTTTCAATTTTTTGTGAAAAATAAAAACAAAAATTCAAAGCTTTCAAATCAAACATTTTTTCGGTCAAAATCCAAACGAAACAAAAAACATTTAATTTCTTGTTTCAAATATATTTTTCGGACTCAACATGGCTTTTTACAGTTAGAGCATATCATGCAATTATTCACAATATTTATAGAAAAGGCCAGAACAACTGATATTTTTAAATATGTAAAGAATACTGGCGTTCCAGTTTATTTATTCAATTTATGTTAGCCATTTCATTATCTGATCACAGACTGAATTTATCACAAACATTGTACAATATCATTCAATGAAATAACTAGTTGAATATCTAGCCACTAGCCTTTTCAAATTTGAAGCTACTGTCTCGGTACAATTACGAAAAAATACAATATACAATTTTAAAAATGGCTCTCTTTACCTAATATTAAAAACTTAATTAACTAGTTTATAACAGAGTCTTTATCGAAGGCGTATTTTTTCTTATTATAACAAGCTGTAAACATATGAAGTGATATGTAATATGATGAACAAATTCCTCATCATAAATGGAGACTTTCTGACTAATAAAATCTTTATGCCACAAAAATGAATTAATTTTTAGTACTTTGTAGAGTTATTGTCGAATATGAGGTCAAAATTAGGTCATTTGTTAAAAAGGTCCAATATACAGGCATTTCATTCACATTTAATCATCTGGAAAAATTGAATGCATCAAAATTTTTAGTAGTGAATCGACATTTCAATTAAGACAGCAACGTTGCAGATCGCACAAAAAAAGAAAGTGAAATGCTATTGGAAGAAAGAAAATGGAAATCAAAACTCAAAAACAATCGCTTCAAATGCAAACAGAAAAATGTGTAATCGATGTTGAAGCAACAACAGTTTAACTGTAGTTAAAGTACACTTGAATTCATCTATTTCTATTTTTTGAAACGAAATATTTTTCATAATGAATGGTTCTAAGTACGCATAAGCAAACAATGCAATTTAGCTATGTTCAAAGGACTTCTTTCCACAACCAGTTTCTTTTTTATAATTTGTTTGCTTCAATCATTAAAAAGTTCATGGCAATGTTTTCAATTTTAATTTAAAAAATAAACGTTGTTTCAAAATGGTCTCCGAACGAAGGAAAAAAAAATTATATACGCGCGAATCGCATTTTAATTCTTAGAAGGCTTCAATTTGTCTTTACGTTTGCTAACCATTGAATATTCTGTTTGTATCAAAGTTTTTGTGCGAAGCAAATCAAAAATGTGTCGGACGCATGGAAACCATTGAAAAAAAGTAAGAAGAAGAAGATGATGATGATGAAGAGCGTGAACAGTGTGAGTGTGGTAGCCGGGAAGCAAATCATTGAAGAATCAAGAATTAAGTATTCAATCTTTTTTCCCTCTTTTTCGCGTTCATTACGACAAGAGCGAGATTCGTTTGTCGTGTACACAGACCAAAATAAATTGTATATAAAAAGGAATATAAAAAGTTTTTTTTCTCTGTGTGTGTGATTGTGTGTTAGCGCGCGAGAAAGCAAGGGATGGTACGGCGTTGGTAGACATTTATATAGCGCGCGCAAAAGTATGTGCGACATTGATTGAGCACGGCAATGATGGTGGTGGTGTGGGTTGGGAAATAAGAAAAGAGAGAAAACCATTTGATGGACTGTGACTATGACGATACAAATTGTATATGTACATATTACGGTTTATATAATGCGACCCCATTTGTATTGAGCATTCTTTCGTGACTTTTTTTCAGCGACCGTGCCGCTTTTTTACCCTCCTTTTTTAAAAAAAAACTGTAATTCCTCACTCTTTTACAACTCCCATATTTTTACTGGAAGCTTAGTCACCACGCTCACGCTAGTACGCTGCCATCCGCGATTAGCGATTGAAAATAGCAAAGGCGATTTGGAAAAAACCAATTTCGTGTTATTGCTTTGCATAAAAAGATTAGATTTATGTGTAAATATAATGTGCTTAGTTTCTTCGGTTGTCTTTTCCATTGCTAAATGAATCTTGGCGACAGCAAACTCACTCTATATCCATTCCATGGCTACACCTGACCCTCGTTTTTGACAGAAAATATACTTTATAGATAAAGGATATAGATCCCTTCAATAATTTTTAGAAGATTTCACGTCTTTAATGAGACAAGCGGCATTTTCAATGAAATCATTTTAATGTAAATCACGTAAAAATTGACAATGTCATCAAAAGTTTGACATTTTCGCTTTTAACGAAATGAACAAAAATGGAAACGAGAAACGGAAGAAAGAGAACGTCACTGTAAGAAAATGAGAAAAAGAAGAATTATAATTGATGATAACCTGCAATCAATAAAATTCATCCCTTCATTTTATTTAGATACTCTTTCGCTGTTCGATTACATACAAGATATGAAATTTAGAGAACAATCAGATAAAAAAAGTATTGAAATGACTTAATGAAACTTTTAAATATTCTTTGCGATTCCATTAGTAGATACTAGTATCCAATAGTTGAGTTCAAATTAAAAAAAAATGCAAAATTATTCAGTTGATCAGCAATATCGTAACAAATATTCAAATCGAATTGAGATGTGATGTAACCAGAAGAATCGAAACCGGTTTTCCATGTGGACGGTAGACTGAATGACCTTGATGGTCAAATTCTGGTTGTAATGGCTTATGAATTGGCCAAATAAATTGGACAATGTGTGCATTGTGCACTGGACATGTAAACAATCTATATATTACTGATTAAAATGTGGCCCATGCGATTGTGTTGTACGATGTTGTCAACCGACTGTTGTTTCATATTCATTTAGTTTGGTTGTAAAGTTAGACTGAGAGAAAGTCAATGTCCTTGAAATCATGTTTATGTTGAATGTTCATGAAAATATGAGGAAGAAGCATTGCTTGAAGGGTTGTTGTCCGATGTTTCATTCCCAATGTAATTACTACAATAAAATAAATTTGAACACAGACACCGAATGGGAAACGGTACATACGGCCATATGGCGATTGACCTAAAAACTCGTTTGACCAGTTTGTCCCTGTGCTACTGGTAAGTACAATGTCTACGTCTACGTCAAGGTGCAAGCCATTACACGTAACAAAATGTAACACATTTCATGGAGTAATTTAATTTGGTCGGTCTTATACATAGGTCGCTAAATATTGTTGTCGTATAGCACGAGATTTTGGAATTGAAACGTGGTTGAGCATTATTTCTGTCCATTGCACAGAGTCCATATGGTTTGTGTTTATCATACTGGAACCAAATTCAAAACAGATGATGTCGATGATGATGATGATGCTGCTGGCGACGATGATTCAATGTGTGCATGATTATCAATGAATTGAATCAATACCGGTAAACAATGCATGTACATGGCAGTTCTTGGAAGTTATAAGTCACAACTCAATCAAATTAACATGAACGGGATTTATGTTTACGAAAGTGATCTTAAAAATAATTTTACAATGTTAGGCTGGATATTTACGATGATTATTTATTTCTGATACCATATTTGATGCCGGCAACAGGTTTAAACGTGATTCATTTCGATTGTGATGCCCAAAAACCGATAAAATCGACTTTTAGTTTGTGTGAATGAATTTGAGTAGAATCGAATACAGTTTTAAAGTACTTTTTAAGCTTCCGACTTTAATTTCAAACAAAAATGATATTCTGGATTGGATTTTTCTTTATCGTAACACTATTTTTTGTCATTTTTTAAAGTTTGGTTTCATTATTTTTATCTTCATTTTTCATTTCAAGATAATGGCTTTTGCACAAATCGAGATTTGTTTTTTTTTATTATTTGGAAAATTTGATCCGAATAGATGTGTTTATCGTTAAAATATGCGACCAACAAAATGCGCATAAATGTCTATTGAACATGCAAGTTGTAGATATATATTTTCAGAGTCCCTAAAATTAAAATGTTATACATGTACGTTATGCGAGCGAGTAATTTGCATCATGAGAAATGTGAAACAAGTCTTAGCGTCTTTTCTTCGTAACGACTCGGTCGTTAAAACCCCTTCGAATATGAAAATATATATTAAAAAAAACTGCTCGTAAGAAAGATGAATCTAGGAAGGGTGAATAACAGAGACGACGAAATTGCTATGCATGTGGCTTTCGTTAGGATTAACATGTATGCGGCACCGTATTTGCATATGGATGTTTTTTTACAATGTCTTTTTTTGCTATACTCTTTTCTCTCACTTTTAAATCTTATGTCGAAAATAATTGAAGTGAGGTATTAAAAGCAGACAATATCGTAAAGAACAATGCCCGCGGCTAGTAAATAGATTGCTATAGTCCATTTGATATGGGATATAAATACAAAATGATGTGAATTAATTATTTTTTTCGAAACGGACACATTTTGAAGTCCCATACGAAGATTAAGACGAGAACCGAGACCATTTTTAAGCGGGTCGATATTCTTTCACACCACGGTGCGTAAAAAACCCCTTTGGATTCATACACACATGTCCATTGAAGAAATGTTATCTTCTCATGCCACAAAGAAACGGACACAATTTCCTTACAAGAAACAAATGAT